TAAGAGCACTAAAAGCTCTAACTTCTCTCTACTTTCTCTCTCTACATTTATTCCGTTTCCAGTCACTAACTTGATCGTCGGAGGCGAATATTCCGTCAAACGAAATATTCGTTATTTTGCAGGTGTCTGCGTTCATCCGGTCGTATTCGAGACCAGTATCCTAAGGGATTCCAAAAAGCCCCGAAACGACAATAATATACCAATCTCATAGAGAAAATAAATTTAAAAATCAAATTCATGAAAAAAATAAAACAAAAGTATAAAATAATAACACAAAATAAAATAAACGAAAAATAAATAAATTGAAATTGATTAAAGGAAAAAAAAAAAAAGCTTGTTCCGTTAATAATTGATGAAATGATGGGTAAATATTTGAATGCAATTTTGGGATTAATGGACAAAAAATATACTGTAGATGATTGTGATTGGTGAGAGTAGTAGGAAGTAAAGAGGGAAGAGTACGTGTCAGACTTTTAATTCGGAAATGGAATTGGTTTCCTAGGTAAAATTTAAAGAAATTCAATCATACTCATTATGCAATTTGTTGGGTTTTTTTACACGTTTTTAACCTTATATTGAATTGAGATCTCACACTTCAAGCTTTTATTGTACTCCATTGCACTTTTTTTTTTCCAAATGTACCGGGGGCCAAGCCCATGTACGGCCCCTTCTATAATCTGCCCTTCAGCAGGTTGTTCCTTCCCCACATTATTCCTATGATATGGCCGCTTTTAATGATGTTGAACCTAATTGTGCTCTCAATTGTTGTCAACCCTCACTAATATTATCAAACTCAATTCAACCAATTATTTTATCTTGAAAACTTCAACTTTGTACTATGCTTGTGGGATATGTGTTTTCAACTTTGTACTACGCTTGGGGGATATGGCCTTTTTACGTTTCTTGATGGATCTCACCCTCCTCCATCCACAAACATTGTTACCGACACATACAACCTATATACTCTTTCCGTTCCTGAAAGTTCGACTGTGTCTTCAATGAACAATTTTGACTATGAATAACTCCGGCTGTGTATAAGAGAAAATTGTAAAAAGTTGATATATAGATTATTTACAATAAGCGGAATCTAATAAGATCTCACATGCTAATTTATTTATATTGTATAGCTCATAAAATTTAAATATGGTCAAAGTTATTTTATTTTGACCACATGAATAGTAAGTGAGTCGAACTTTCACTACCGGGTGTATATATACATATATATGTATATATATATACACACACACACACATATATATATATATATGTATATATATACACATATATATGTATATATATACATATATGTTATATATATATGTATATACATGTATATATATATATATATACAATATATATATATATGTATATATATATATATGTATTATCTACAAAATCTTCTATATTATTTTAATTTACACATGAACATTTAAGTCAAGATTATATATTTGATTAAATATTAAATGTAGATTATCACTCAAATATACTAATCTGTATAAATTATCTTATTCAAAAAATATAATACGGAGTACTACGCCTCCACTTTGTTAAGTGTAATGTTACTTTTATGCGGTTTCCAATGCATTATTTTGACCATTTATTTATTTATTTATATAATTGTGGATTAATTTAAATTATACAAAGTTGATATATTGAAAAGTTATAACAATACTAATCTAATAAGATTAAACTTGATAATAATGTGCTTTCTAGCTTATATATAAACAATTAGACGTGGTCAAAATTTTAAAACTTTGACCTTGTGAATTATAAATAGGTAAATATGTAAATTATGTTTCCTAAAAAAAAATGTAAATTGTGAATCAATTATAATGACTTTGCTAATTTTCTACTATATGATTTTAGGTACATCATACATAAATAAATAAATTATATATACTATATATAATTCAAAAAATTTAAAAAATTATATATACTATATATAATTCAAAATTTTCTTCAAAAAAAGAAATATATAATTCAGTTTTTGCTATAATATTTTGTTATAAAACTCCTAAACTCAAAACCTCTAAATTATTATAACAAGTTTTTAAACTTTTGCTCCACCCTAATCAAACCATTTATTCGACAACTAAAGTCACAACACACTCATGCATAATATCTACAAATTGTAAAAAAAAGTTGATATATACAAGTATATATTAGATGTGGGTATTGTTTGTTTGTACTGAACTGGTATGTGGGTATTGTTTGTAAGCTCGTTACTTCGTTCATTGGGTGAATATGGGGATACTATTATACTTTGTACTATGTATCTATTATACTTTGTACTATATATGGGGATACTATTGTACTTTGTACTATGTATCTATTGTTTGTTGAGTATCCATAAGATTTATTTATTTATTTATCTAATATAAATTTGCATGATAAACATAAATTAATTTATCTATTACGTGTACCACCCTATAAGATAAACTATAATTCTCTTTTTTTTAATAAGAGTTCGGCACTAACTTTTACTCCATTCGTCCCATTATAACTGACACATAAGAATTTTTCCACTATTTATAATATTAACTTTGACCTTAGTGTTTTTTTTTATTTAAATAAATGTAATAAATTCATATTTATTATGAAATAAGTTGTTAAATGGAGATTAATATAAATAAATGTAATAAATTCACATTTTATTATGAAATAAGCTGTTAAATAGAGATAAATATAAGGTTTCACGATTAAAATTTTTATAATTTTTATTGATATTTAATTATATAAAAATTAGGTCAAATTATTGCATCGACATATATGCAAAATTTGATTGTGTCAGTTATTGGACAGAGGGAGTATATGTGTGTGGCCAACCACCATAGGGTTACTCAGTTAGTATTATAGGGGTTACTCAATTAATAATATAGGGCTTACTTATTAGTAAGTGTTATGATGGTTACTTTATCAGTGTTGTACGGGTTATTTAATTTGTTATTTAAGATTTACTCAATAAGTATAATAAGGGGCTACTCTAATTTGTTAGTATAACAGGGGTTAATTTATCGGTGTCATAGGGGTTACCCTGTTTTTTATTACAAGCAGTCACACGATGTACCAGTCGGATAGAATACGCGTTGTAGGTTTTGTATATGTCATCATGGGTGAAATACAAGAATAATATGATTTTTTTTTTCTTTTTGTTATTTTCTTTTTGTTATTTTACTTCTCTTATATATGTGTATATATATTTTTTTTCACTATTATATATGTGCCATAAAAATATCAAATGATTACATATAATAATAATAATAATAATAATAATAATAATAATAATAATAATAATAATAATAAAAAAGACAGTTAATCAAATAATTAAGGGCAAACCTAAGCATCCTTCTAAGGTCATTTACAGCTAGAGGTTACAATTTTTGAAAAGACAATTATACTAAGCATTAACATTAGTGCCTTTGCAGATTTTTAGACGGGAAATTTTTGGATGGAAGCTGCAATATGTGTCTGGTGATGAGGTTGATTCATCATGTAAAAAGGTAGTAGGTGATGGGGCAAGATAATCTCATAATTTTTATCCTCCACAAGTGAATGAAAAATATGAGAAATAATGTTTATATACATAATAAAAATATCAAATGTTTATAAAAAGATGTGACTTTATTCATGCTATATGAGAATATCAAAAGTCCTATTTTTAATTTAGAAGTTTTTCACGTTAAATTTTAAGTATTTTTAGAGGACATAGAGAAAAAAGATATGACATTATTTGTGATAGGTATACGAAATACAATATTATTATATATACAATGATCATGTTGTTATTGTAATAGTAAATTTTTTAAAACATATTGAATTCACAAAGTTTCATATGTGGTTGGCTACACCGTGTGGTCGAGAATACTTGGTTGGGGGTTACTCGATCGGTCAGGAGTTACTTGGTCAAGGGTTACTCGATCGGTCAAGGGTCACTCAGTCAGTCTGGGTTACTCGGTGATCAGGGGTTGCTTATGTTTTGATGTGTGTCTGTCGGCCACATAGAAAAAGTGCTTTATTGAGTTAGTGGACAAAGTTTAATCATTTTTAAAATGAAGTGGCCAATGACTCAAGTAGAAATGAGAAAAAAAAAAATATATGACTTAATGTAGGTATTGATTATCAGTTCATTGAGTTGCATTATATTTTAAAACTTAACATTCAATTTAAGAATAAAAAAGTTGTATTAAAGTAGTATATCATTATTTTGAGAGTAAAATGCATAATTAAGACATCAATGTAAGTAAATTCATTATTACTCATTAAATCGTCTTATCTTAATATTTGTGAAATGAATATAAGTATTAAGATTTGTAAGTCGTGCGTTGCATGGGTGCTATGCTAGTATTTATCTATAATAACTAATACTAAAGTAACAATCGTTGACGTCATTCTATTTTAAAATTAGACATATGTCATATTGTCATTAAAAATTTTCCCTCTAAAAGTATAAATGATGTCATTATTTTGTGAATTTTTTTTTATTTTATTAAAATTCTTGTTAGCTGCATTATTATTAGTATCAAATTCTGAAAAACAATCTATTCTCTTTAACAACAATAATTTAATTTTTCTTCCTTGGGTACCCTTTTCATCATTCAATTTTTCTATGAGCTCTAATTTTTTTTTTTTCTTATATTTGATGTTTTATTTGTTTTGGGAACATTTTTATTTTTAATTTTGGTATGAACAAATAAATAAATTTAGAAAACTTTATTTGAGCAAATCGTACATTACAGTAGACTAATCTAGTATCATAATAATAAGGGGCTTCCAACAATGATTTGGTGGGATAATCAATTACGTTATGGTATCAATAAGCTTGTGACGACACATCACACAAAAGGCTAACTTTCTAAATAAAAACAGTTTAAAAAAAAATGTGTTCACAGTTATTCAAAACAAAGTAAATTTAGAAAATTTTATCCTATTCTTGTAACAATGTTATCTAAAATATCCTATCCACATCTAATATTAGTTAGATTTCTGAATTTAAATTGCCTGTGACAATTGATCATTTCACGCCATTTCCCATTCCCAAAACATGGATAGCCAAAAATCAATTCTCATTACCCTATTCATCATCATTGTAACAGTAAATTCAAAAAATATTGTACATGTCAATGCCGTAGGTTCACCTTCGGCAAATCCTAACAGTTTATCATGTATGGATCTTATGATGAATAATATGGCTAGTTGTATTTCATTTATAAGCAAAGGTGGTACCGATTCGAAACCCGACCCAAGTTGTTGTTCGGGTTTGAAAGTTGTATTAGGCACCAATGCTGAATGTTTGTGTGAAGCTTTGAAGAGTGGTGGAAGTTTAGGAATTCAAATTGATTTTGGACGTGCTGCATCTCTTCCTTCTGCTTGTAATGTCAATGCTCCTCCCATTAGCAAATGTAACGGTAAGTTCTATTGTTTTTCATTTTATAACTTTATCAAAAAAAATTGTCTAATTATTAATAAAATCAATACTAATAAAATTTTGTCTAATTATGAATAAATCTATACTAACATATTAAACTATATAAATTCATGATACGGTGATGCCATTGTGATGTCTAATTATTAAATTCCATGTGTATGTCATGCAGATTTTGTTGGTTATATTAGGGATAATACCTAAGACTTTAGATTGAATTTTATCTATATTATTCTTTCTAGATATGTGATACTCAATCTATAAAAAAAAAAAAATTAATAATACAATATTAAATTTTCATTCGTGATATCCTCAATGAAATATGCATATATATTGCTAAAATAATAATTAAGAAATAAATCAAGGGATGGAATAGAGATACTATGAGAGCATAATTTGTATTTGAAATCTTTCTTGGCTAATTAACAATATTTTCTCCAAAGCATGGTAACAAAATCTTTATTATGTTTTCCTACTTGTATTTTATTGATAAAATAATGTTAAATTTTAATTTCATGTTTTATGTGTTAATTCTAGGACCACCTAGTTCCTCTTCATCACCACCTAGTGAGCAACAAGACCCTAACAAGCACAACGCGACTACACCAAGGGCACAACCTACACCACCACCCGCCACACCAACAACGGCACCATCACCTTCGCCACCCATAAAATCATCGAAAATGGGGCCATCGTCTTCGCCATCCGCCTCATCAACACTAGGGCCATCATCTCCACCACCCACCACACCAAAAATGGGGTCACCACCTTCACCACCCGCCTCATCGACAACAGGGCCATCTCCATCATCTTCATCACTAGCACCCTCAAAAATACCACCAATTGGGTCATCGTCACCTTTGCCACAAACACCTATTGCAACAACAATGGTGCCATTGCCTTCGCCAGCAAGCGACGACACATCAACAACTACAAGCCCGCCACATTCATCTTCATCATCATCGGTATCCATTATCATCCCTTATGTCATGATTTTCGTGCAATATATTTCTCTACTTCTTTGCATAGGAATGTAATAATAAGCTTGTACCAAGTGCAAGATTATATCTCAATTTAGGCTTTCGTGTTTTGTGGCTTTATCACTCACGTGAGTGTTGGGGAATGTATATGGGAATTACCTTATTGTATAGTATGACATACTATAATAAAAGTTGTTATTTTTATTTGAGAAGATTCTAATTCAATTATAACTTTTAGTTCCAATTTGGATGACATGAAATATTACCTTATAACACACCTTATATTTGTATAATTTTGATAGCCACAACGAAATACATTCAAACAAGGCTCAATGATGGATATGACCACCAACCTTTTTTCTAGCTACTTCATGTGTTTCACACAAATATTGGTCCATGTTGACTTTTACACTCGATCTTCACAAAAAGAAAAATTTATCATGTAGGTTATTGTTAAATTAATCTCAATTTATACTTTTAACTTTCAAGATTTCAAATATTAGTATGTTACAATTGTATTATTGTATATTGATAATCAACATATTAATGGTCAAATTCATACATTGGTTTGTCATGTGGGATATTGTTATATATATTACTCTCTCTGTTCCTTATAGTTCATCCCATATTGATAATCAACATATTAATAGTGTTTGTATAATTATACTCTTTAAAATGTTTAAAATAATGGTGTTGCAAATCTTCAAACCAATCAGAAACTATGGAAATAAAAATTGCTGCAATTAATAGAAAATGAAGCTGAGGGAGTGTAAGTCTAGACAAAATAATGTTCCCTATATTTCCAATTAGATGCAATAGGTTAACTCTTTCAATATCTTGACCGTAAATTTTTATAGAACATACTATAATAAATGTTAGTTTGTAAAATGTTTATTGATTTATCTCAAAATATATTTTCAATAAAACCTTATTTGGTTGACATCATAAAATGGGGGAATTGAGAATTCATGGAAATTGGTAAGGTGGTTAGTTATTTGTAGGGGTGTAAAGCCGAGCTGAATACTACCTTGTCATGTTCAAGTTTATTAATTTAAGCGTGTCCAGGCACAATACCGAGCTTTCAAGCGAGCTCAAAAATATGTTCAAGCTCAGCTCATATAGTACACTATATGTTTGCGAACGGTCCGTGAACGGCTAGTTTATTAAACGAGTTGATAAATGAGTGTTTAATGAACGAGCTTTATAATAAACGAGCTTTGTAATTTTGATATTTGAAAATCTCAAAATTAGCATAATAATTAAAAGTATAAACTTAAGAGTTGAATTAACAATTGTGAATAAATCAATAATTCATGAACATAAATAAACGAGTAGCTCGCGAAAATAAATAAACGAGTTGTTCATGAAGCTAAACGAGCATATCTATGTTTGTGTTCAAGCTCATTTATTAACTGAGCTTCAAAATTTGTTCAAGCTCGGCTCATTTATTAACTAAACGAACATAAACAAACTTCAATTGAGCTCACCCGAGTAGTTTATTGATCGCCTGATCGGCTCAGTTCATTTACACCCCTAATAATTTCGTTGACACAAAAAAAAAAGGGGGGGGGTTATGGGAATTTAAATTTTGAATGTTTGTAATTATTGAATTTTAATTGCAGATTTCTCCCAAACACTTTGGTGAAATTGAAAATGTTAGAATAAATTCTAGAATTTCCCAAACATGATATTTGGAATTGAATTTCCATAATTCAAATTCTAGAATTGTATTCTTTCATTTCATATGAAATCAAGGTTTCCAAACACTACATTAAGAAATTTCTAAGAATTTCATTAAGGAACGAACTTCTTATGAAATACAAATTTCTATGGGAATTAATTTCCCATATCAGCCAAACAATACCTAGTTATATATACGAAACATAAACTTTTCATAGTTTTTACTAACTTAGGCTCCGTTTGTTTTGGTGGAAAACATTTTCCTAGAAAATGATTTTCCTTCATCTTTCCATTTTCCTTTGTTTGTTTTGATAAGAGATGGAAAACAATTATTCTAAAGGTGGAAAATTGCACTTTAAAAAAGGAAAACTCTTTTCCTTTGAAAAATAAGGTATGCCACATTTCTCTCTTCACTCATTACTTCTCCTTATACTCTACTCTCATCCTTCCTTTTCTTTTACTTCATTTTCCCTTTTCTCCTTAAGTTATCCTCTAATCAAACAAACAAATGAAAACTTTCTTTAAACTAGGGTAGCCAAAGCGTGAGTTGCGCGGGGGGTGGCAGCCCTTTCAGCTTGATTTTTCTTGGCTTGTGTTTGCACTTGACATAGAGTTAATGGAATGATAAAGGAATATCTCTCTATTTCTTAGACTTAATCTTTCTTGGATTGGCCTGTGTTTGCACTTCACATGGAGCTAATCGTCCGCTACCGAGGGCTCTTGACTTTGATGTTGTAGGATATTCTGGAAAATGTGATACAATAGGCTGCACCCTTATTTAAGTAATGAAAAAACACAATGTGCTAACATTTATATAGGAATTTATGATACTAATATATCTTTTGCGCTCATTGACCTAATTGGAAAACAAGGTACAACATATAGCAGTACAGGGTACATCACTAGTAGAAAAACAGAAATGAGCACCGCAAAATGCGCACCGGTTTTTAATAACTGGTGCCAAAAAGCATAGGCGGGATTGAGGGAAAGGGGAATTCGCACCGGTTCAAACCAAACCGGTGCGAAATGATGTTAATCGCACCGGTTCGGTTCGAACCGGTACAAATGCTATTGTTAAAAAAAAAAAAAACCGGCCTTTAATTGTCTTCTTTCTTTCTCTTTCCTCGATCTCTCCTCCTCTCACATCCACCTCTCTCTCATCTCGCTCTCTCTCCTCTCGAACTCTCTATCTTCTCTTTCTTCTTGCTCTCTCTCCCACCACCAACCACCACCACCGCAATCATCTAATAGCGACGCTGCTCCTCACAAGGTTTATCCCTCCTTTTTTTTGTTAATTTTGTATAATTTGGGTTAGGGTTTCGATTTTGTTGAGTTTTTGGGTTTTGATTTTGGATTTTGTGATTTGGTTGTTGTGTTTGAGTTTGAATTTGTATGTGATGTTTGATTTTGAGTTTGATTTTGTCCCTCTTATTCGATGATTATTGTAATTTTTTTATTCCCAGAAACCCCCTTTTTCAAAACCATCGAATATCAATTTCCGTTTTGGGTTTATCGTTAAGGTAATTGTGAGAAAAGTCAACTTTTGGTTGTTCTATGCTAGATTATTGAACTATGGCTACAATTAGTGAAGCTATTAGAAATTTTAAAGGTCAATTTTGATGCTGTAATTTTGATGTGTATAATTTACTTTGATATTTTGAGGCGACAAGAATTTAGTGTGGTGTTTAGGTCTCCTTAGATTATTTTGTGGTTTTTGGGGCTCCTTTGATGATTTTGTACTTTTTGTTTGATATTTGGTGTGTTTTGATTTTAGGGTTTAATTGGGGTTCTTACTTTGTTTTGGGATGTAGGTTGGACTGCATCAATTTAAGGTGAGTAATGGGGATTACATCTATGTGAAGAAGCTCAAGTACTGTGACTGTCTGGGTAATGACAAGGTAATTCGTTTTTCTGCTTGATTTTATGTTCAGTGATTGATAATTGTAATAGTGATAGATTATAAATTGGTGATGTATAGTTTCCCGGTGGTTTTATTCAACTGTTCTTTTGTTGTGGGGCTAGTCTACCGAGTTATTAATATTAGATGGCATTTTCTTATTTTACCTTCATATGTGTGTGATTACAATCCTTGATGAATGTCCTAATGTTACAGAACCTTTTTTGTTCTTGTTGATCTATTGATATTTGACTGATAATATCATCAGCCTTCTATCTCCTTCTAGATTTTCTAGTTTTGAAAATTTTCTAAAAATAACTTACTAATATTTTGGCTGATAATATGTCTATGTTAATCTTTGTACAACTAGTATAGTATGTCACGGGGTAGGAGGCCTTCAAAAGGAGTATGCTGCTGTTGCTAATCTACTGGACATCTGTTAACCTCATCCTTTGAAGAAGTTGGTGTTCTCGTCCGATTGCGAACAAGGGAGTTAATTAGGGGGTGATGTTGAAGAAGGCTAAGGGTTGGGGTTTTTTTTTTTTTTTTTGTTTTTTTTTTTTTTTTTGCCTTTTTTAAATTTACATCTAGTGCATGTAAAAATATTCTGTTTTCCCTCTAGCTTGCTTTCCTCCAGAATTTTCCTTCGAAGTCTGTAGAATTAGAACACTGACCGGTTTTTTTTTTATTTAACAATAGATTCCGCACCGGTTCGAACCGAACCGGTGCGATTTACTCACTTTTCCCACCGGTTTTTTTAGAACCGGTGCGAAAAGTCTTCCCCTCATCCCGCCTATTTTTTTCGCACCGGTTTTTAAAAACCGGTGCGCATTTTGCAGTGCCTATTTCATTTTTTCTACTATCTAGATCATGTATCTTGTGAGAAAAGTTGACCGGAACTTGTATTCTTCTTGGGATTTTTGTTGTTTGAGTTTTAACCTTCTTTTACCCCAAGATATAAATCTGTTATGTTTCCATCACAAAGGTTGCATGAAGAAAATGAGAAGTTATTTGACAAATTAACAGGAAAAGCAGCTTAGGTTGGATCCTCCCAGGTAGATAAAGTAACATTTTTTTTTTCCCAAAAATCATACACCCATATTTACATCTAGCTATGCACACACATACACATTATAAATGCTCTAAGCTTTGTTTTTATTTCATGATTCTCTTTTTGCTAGTGGAATGTTCGTGTCATCAATTTATATAAAGCTTCCCTGATTTCAAGTTGGAAAGACTTACTGCATTTTGTTTTCACTAATTTTATTACTCTGTCCCATTTGTGTTGTCATATTTTAAGAACATGCCAAGATAATTTTGATATCGAAGACTACTTGTATTAGGTATAATATTAGCCCATTTGGCCAAAATAGTTTTTTTTTTTTTTAAAAAAAAAAAAAAAAAAAAAAGTTCTTTCTTTGATAGTTGTAGTTTGACAATAAAACGAGACTAGAATTATTCTTTTTTTTTTTTTTATTATAGAGTATAAATGAGATGATGTATTTCATTTCCTTTTTAGATGATACAACATTGAAACATCATGGGTGCATAATAACTAATATTCTTATAAGAATTGTATAATTTGCTACTTCATAGAAAAATTGAGTAGGGTGACAACTAGCTACGAATCTTGCTTAACCTCACTTATTCCAGAAGATACCCAGGGATTGGAGTGGAAATTT